GAGTGTGCATGCAAAAGTATATTACAAGGGGGTATGGCGCAATTTTTAAAATACAGGGGGAAAACGCGCAGATTTAGTATATTACAGGGGGGTTTGGTGCAATTTACCCTCTTTTTTAATATTAAAAAAATCAACAAAGCAATAGCATTCGTGTCTGTGGATGTTTCATTTGTAACCTCTATTTTTTTACTATTAAAATATCAACAAAACAATTGCATTCAGTGGTGTGAATGATCTATTTTTTAACCTTTATTATTTAACATAACTAGTAAATATAATGTGCACATGCACAGATGTACATAAAATATTAGTAAGTAATTTTGAGAATTTAATATTAAAATTCTCAAAAATTTGATTATTAGAAAAAATAAATTAACGATTTTATTATTATGAACAATTGTTTATTATCATTAGATAATAACAGTTTGGTTATTATTATTATTATTATTATTATTATTATTATTAATATTATTATTATTATTAAAAAATAATTGTTTATAAGTTTCTAAAGTTGTTTGACTTTGCTATTAATATGGATGTTAATATAAATAACTTAAAACAATTGTTTATAATTATGTAATTTATATTTATTGTGAATAATTATTAGTTGGTATCAGAAATAAATATTATATAATATAATAGAAAAATACATGATTACACTTAATAGGATGTGTTAATGTGAGACGTAAAAAAAAATATTAATGATAAATTTTGTAACTGAAAATAGAGGGAAAATTTTAGAGGTGTTATTAAATAGGTAAAGTTAAATGCTAAGCTAGCAATTATATATATATATATATATTATTAAAAAATAATTATTTATAAGATTCTAAAGTTGTTTAACTATGCTATTAAAATAATTTACTAATTGTTTTTAAAGAAATTTTTTTATGAGATACAAAAGAAAAATATAATATTGATGTTAAAATACATAACTTGAAACAATTGTTTATAATTATGTAATTTATATTTATTGTGAATTATTATTAGTTGGTATTAGTAATAATTATTATGCAATATAATAGAAACACACATGATTACACTCATTAAGATGTATTAATGTGAGAAGTAAAAAATATAAATGACAAATTTTGTAACCGAAAATGGAGGAAAAATTTTAGAGGTTTTATTAAATGTTTTATTAAATGCTACATGCCAAAAATTATATATATATAGATATAACGCATGTATTTTTTGATAGAATCATTTATGATAACAATAAGAATATTACATGACATTAATTTTGTAAACATTATTTTAGTATTCTGAAATAGTTTATTTGTAAGTTTAATTTTTATATTATTTTACTTATTACTTTTAATATAAAAAATATTAAAAAATAATTTGAAAATACTTATTATATTAATAATAATTTTTGTTAATATAAAATAGTTAAACGAATATAACCAATGTTTATTTATATCAAAATTATTTTCAAGTTAATAATACAAAATATATTTTTATGAATCAATAAGCTACTTTTACCAAACATATTTTTGAAAACCGCTATTACATTCCGCTGGTCAAAACAGCTGACACAATCCGCTGGTCAAAACAGCTATTACAATCAGCTAACAGCTAACAGCTAACCGCTAACTACCAAACAAGGCCGTAGTATTTTTCATATTAAAATAAGAAAAATAATACAAGTACATAGTAAATGTACATAACAATCACATGGAGTGGAGTCCACTTGATTTTTTACTTTTGGTAGGACCCACTTAATGTGAACATTTTGTACACCTTTATGTACACCTTACATGGTGAAACATCCAGTTCAATGAAGTGATGCAGTCATATGGATTCACTTAATGTTTGGATGAGACGTGTTTTTTTTTTTTTT